TGGCAGATGTTGCAGGTGTAAGGTATAGGAGGTAGGTTACTGAAAGGAGTGAAGAGTTTCTACGAGGATAGTGAGGCTCAGGTTAGAGTATGCAGGAGAGAGGGAGATTATTTCCCAGTAAAAGTAGGCTTTAGACAGGGATGTGTGATGTCACTGTGGTTGTTCAATATATTTATAGATGGGGGTTGTAAGAAAAGTGAATGCGAGGGTCTTGGCAAGAGATGTGGAGTTAAAAGATAAAGTATCTGACACAAAGTGGGAGTTGTCACAGTTGCTCTTTGCTGATGACACTGTGCTTTTGGGAAATTCTGAAGAGAAGTTGCAGAGGTTGGTTGATGAATTTGGTAGGGTATGTAAAAGAAGAAAATTAAAAGTGGATATAGGAAAGAGTAAGGTGATGAGGATAAAAAGATTAGGTGACAAGAGATTGGATATTAGATTGGAGGGAGAGAGTATGGAGGAGGTGAATGTATTCAGATATTTAGGAGTGGATGTGTCAGCAGATGGTTCTATGAAAGATGAGGTGAATCATAGAATTGAAGAGGGGAAAAGGGTGAGTGATGCACTTGGGAGTCTGTGAACTTTATCCGTGGAAGCAAAGAGGGGAATGTATGAGAGTATAGTTGTACCAACACTCTTGTATGGGTGTGAAGCATGGGTGGTGAATGTTGCAATGAGGAGGCTGGAGGCAGTGGAGATGTCATGTCTGAGGGCAATGTGTGGTGTGAATATAATGCAGAGAATTCGTAGTTTGGAAATTAGGAGGTGTGGGATTACCAAAACTATTATCCAGAGGGCTGAGGAGGGGTTGTTGAATTGGTTCTGACATGTAGAGAGAATGGAACAAAACAGAATGACTTCGAGAGTGTATAAATCTGTAGTGGAGGGAAGGTGGGGTAGGGGTCGGCCTAGGAAGGGTTGGAGGGAGGGGGTAAAGGAGGTTTTGTGTGCGAGGGGCTTGGACTTCTAGCAAGCACGCGTGAGGGTATTTGATAGGAGTGAATGGAGACAAATGGTTTTTAATACTTGACCTGCTGTTGGAGTGTGAGCAAAATAATATTTATGAAGGGATTCAGGGAAATCAGCAGGCCGGACTTGAGTCCTGGAGATGGGAAGTACAGTGGACCCCTGGATAACGATATTATTTCAATCCAGAAGTCTGTTTGGGTGCCGTTATAGACCGAATTTGTTCCCATAAGAGATATTGTGAATTAGATTAGTCCGTTTCAGACCCCCAAAAATACACCTACAAAAGCACTTACAAAAATACACTTACATAATTGGTCGAGTTGGGAGCTGATCGTTATGTGGGGGTCCACTGTACAGTGTCTGAACTTTGAAGGAGGGGTGTTAATGTTGCAGTTTTATAACTGTAGTGTAAAGCACCCCTTTGGCAAGACAGTGATAGCGTGAATGATGATGAAAGTTTTTCTTTTTTGGGCCACCCTGCCTTGGTGGGAATTGGCCGATGTGTTAATAAAAAAAAATAATTTGAGATGTATTTGTGTAGAATTTTAATCCTGTGTCATTAGCAGAACTTTAATTACACTGCACGATTACATAGTAGTAACTAGTATGAGACAGTATATCTCTTGAACTTTTACTACAGTTTACGTGGGACAGCATTTCTCTCTGGTCATGCTGATGGATCAGTAGTGCGGTTCTATGTTGCTGATGACCCATATGCTGAGCCACAGGTAAGTCTCCACTAGTGTTGTTATTCAACATATTTAACAGTTACTATTTTTAGTTAAAAAATGTAATAACTTGTTAAGATATTACTTAATGTTTAACCCTTTCAGGGTCCAGACCCCTAATCTGAAACTTGTCTACAAGGTTAAAGAATTTTCAAAAAAAAATTTTGTCATTTTTTCTTATGAAATGATAGAGAATCTTTTTTCTGAAGTTAATAAAACAAAAAATAGAAAATTTTATGGAAAATTGACGAAATTACGCTCTCGTGAATTTTACTGCGTCAGTGATATTTGCGCATCGGTGATTTTGCCGGCTTTGACTCCCATTTTAGGCCAATTTCATTATTCCAGTCGACCAGATTCTTAGATATTTCACTAGTATTACTTCTATTTTATCGATTGAACACAAGAAATCGCCCAATCAACTATTTTAACTACCCAATAAAGTGATCGGAAATTGGTAATTTGGCCAATTTCACACAAAGTTCAAAATATTCCAATTTCAAAATAGGGTCCAGAATAAACAATGCAGGCATTCCTGGCACTAAAATAACATTTCCCCTGTTTATTAGTTATGTTTCCAAGCTTTACATATGAATTCTATTTTGACCTTTTATTTGCATAATGAATTTTTATTCACACCAAAAAATAGAAGAGTTACTGTTATACAACACTACAATGTTTGTATAAATAATATCAGCGCATTTGTGAACGCACATTAGACCTACCAGCTGACATGTATTGGATGCATGACGTCATTTGTTTTTAAATCTAAATTTATCCAACTTTAATCCATTATTCCTGATTCTTACCCGAGTCGATATCCTTACTATTTTATTAATGTCGCTTTTGTTTATGCCCATCATCCACTTATACACTTCGATGATGTCTTTTCTCATTCTGCATCTCTCAAGAGAGTGAAGATTCAAGGATCTATCTTCATATGGCAGATTCCTTATACAGTGAATCATTTTAGTCATCTTTCTCTATATGTTCTGTGAATTTATATCCCTTCTGTAGTAAGGAAACCAAAACTGAGCGGCATAATCCAAGTGAGGCCCGGTGGCCTGGTGGCTAAAGCTCCCGCTTCACACACGGGGGGCCCGGGTTCGATTCCCGGCGGGTGGAAACATTTCGACACGTTTCCTTACACCTGTTGTCCTGTTCACCTAGCAGCAAATAGGTACCTGGGTGTTAGTCGACTGGTGTGGGTCGCATCCTGGGGGACAAGATTAAGGACCCCAATGGAAATAAGTTAGACAGTCCTCGATGACGCACTGACTTTCTTGGGTTATCCTGGGTGGCTAACCCTCCGGGGTTAAAAATCCGAACGAAATCTTACTAGTGATGTATAGAGCTGTAAAATAACTTTTGGACTCCTGTTACTTATACTTCTTGAAATAAATCCAAGTAATCTGCTAGCCCTATTGCTCACACTCATGCACTGTTGTCTTGGCTTTAGATTTCTGCTTACCTCTTGGTTTTAGGTTTCTGCTTAAGTTGGCCATTTTGCTAAAAATAAAAAGATGGTTTCTGTCTTTTGTGTGCATTCCCTCCTCTCCCAACTTTTAATAGTTATGGTGTTGTGGTTATTACAACAAAAACAACTATAATTTGTTGTTTATACGAAGTTTATAAAAAAATATGCAGTCCATGTTTTTCAGCATTTTTTTATTTGTGCCTTGAATGCCATTTAACTAAATTATAGTATATCAGTGCAGTACTCAGATGGCACACTTTATTTCCATATTGACAATAAAAATATATTTATTCCATATACAGCCTCTCCTCACTTAACAATAGAGTTTCATTCCTAAGACCACGTCAGTAAGCGAATTCATTGCTAATCGAGGAGCATTCTATAATGGTAGTGGGTTTGTGTCAACCATCTTAGATATTGTTTTACTGTCACCTTTGCACCATTTATGGCATTTCTAGTATATTTTTAAATGTTTATACAGTAGTTTACTGTATATTGTAATAAAGAGAATAGAGGAAATCAGCTCTAATATACATTATTTAAGTATGCATACTGGTCAGAGAGCTCGTAAGTCCGAGTTGTCAGTAAATGAGTAGTATGTGCATCATTAAGTGAGGAAAAGCTGTACTGTATATTTTTGGGAGCAAGAAGCTAGTTTGCTGAAAAAAAAAACTGTATTTTTATTTTTATTCATGAAACATGCATAAACAATTTTGTTTGTCCTCTACAAATGTAGAAGACACATGACAGAGCATGCTTTTTTATTAGATGATGGCTTGCCCTAAATAGGACCTTATCAACACTATTTCACAGTGTATAGACTTGATAAAACTATATTTAGGATGGAACGTTGTTTGATAAATTGTCTCCCCTTTCTTCATGTGTTTTACATTCCTAGTTTGCCGGCTACTTGCCATTTGCTACATATTACCTGGTTACAAAATGAGCAGCACTGTAATACAGCCTCTCCTCACTTAGCAACATACTACTCATTTACCGACGACTCAGACTTATGACGGGCTCTCTGACCAGTATGCTTACCTAAATAGTGTATATAACAGCTGATTTCCTCTGTTCTGTTTATTACAATATACAGTACAGACGCAACCCTACTTACAAACATTTGAGTTACGAATATTCGGACATACGAGCAGACTGCCATGTTAGTTAAAGTTTCATTCGCAACACTTCCGCAAATCCTAATTTTGAGTTGTGCACCTTCTGTATAGTAGGACATTTTCCTGCAACCCACGCCATGCAGCACGGTTTGGTAACATGCTCATTAGTGGCAACATGCATATGCTTATGCTGTAGCACAAGCATACACATGTTGGCCTTAGTGAGAAGCTTCATATGGACCTAAAGGAAGACTTTGTGGAACTGTTTGAGTCACAATCTGAGGAGCTGACAAATGAAGATTTGATGGAGCTGGAAGAGATGCAGCATAAGTTTGAGACGAAAATGATGGCCGAGGCATTTTCTCTTATAGAGAGGTCTCTGTGTGTTTGAGCTTCAGGACCCCAATATCGAGAGATTCTCAAAGGTTTCAACTGGTGTTAACAATTCTATCTCGTGCTACCATCTTATATACGATGAGAAGAGAAAAATGGTGAAAACTTCCTTAGACAGATTCTTCAGACCAGTGCCTTCTACCTCAAAAGTCTCTTCAGATGTTGAAGAAACCCAGGCTTACAAAACCCTGACTGATGAAGCATTTGATGACAAAGTATATGAGGTTGATAACCCTCTCCCCCAGTAGCCCCACACAATCTCCAATCTTCCTCTCATCCATCACCTCAAGTTTATTGTACCAATTAAAAAAGTAAGTTTTTTATTACAGTATTTATTATTAAAATATGCTTTAGTATTAAGAGCCTTACATTACTGATACTGTACAGTATTGTCTTCAAGTTTTCAGCGGTGCAGAGAGGGAACAATAATAGTAATGATAATAATAATCATAACAATAGAATAATAATAATAATCATAACAATGGAGAGGAATAAATGGCATTAGGTCAGGGGTTTCAAATAGAGTTAGAGCTAAAGAAGGAGTAGCAATAATGTTGAAGGATAAGCTATGGCAGGAAAAGAGGGACTACAAATGCATAAATTCAAGGATTATGTGGAGTAAAATAAAGATTGGATGTGAAAAGTGGGTTATAGTAAGCGTGTATGCACCTGGAGAAAGAAGTGTAGAGGAGAGAGAGAGATTCTGGGAAATGTTGAGTGAATGCGTGGGGAGTTTTGAATCAAGTGTGAGAGTAATGGTGGTTGGGGATTTCAATGCTAAAGTGGGTAAAAATGTTATGGAGGGAGTAGTAGGTAAATTTGGGGTGCCAGGGGTAAATGTAAATGGGGAGCCTTTAATTGAGCTATGTGTAAAAAGAAATTTGGTAATAAGTAATACATATTTTATGAAAAAGAGGATAAATAAATATACAAGGTATGATGTAGCACGTAATGAAAGTAGTTTGTTAGATTATGTATTGGTGGATAAAAGGTTGATGGGTAGGCTCCAGGATGTACATGTTTATAGAGGGGCAACTGATATATCAGATCATTATTTAGATGTAGCTACAGTTAGAGTAAGAGGTAGATGGGAAAAGAGGAAGGTGGCAACAACAAGTAAGAGGGAGGTGAAAGTGTATAAACTAAGGGAGGAGGAAGTTCGGGCAAGATATAAGCGACTATTGGCAGAAAGGTGGGCTAGTGCAAAGATGAGTAGTGGGGGGGTTGAAGAGGGTTGGAATAGTTTTAAAAATGCAGTATTAGAATGTGGGGCAGAAGTTCGTGGTTATAGGAGGGTGGGGGCAGGAGGAAAGAGGAGTGATTGGTGGAATGATGAAGTAAAGGGTGTGATAAAAGAGAAAAAGGTAGCTTACGAGAGGTTTTTACAAAGCAGAAGTGTTATAAGAAGAGCAGAGTATATGGAGAGTAAAAGAAAGGTGAAGAGAGTGGTGAGAGAGTGCAAAAGGAGAGCAGATGAAAGAGTGGGAGAGGCACTGTCAAGAAATTTTAATGAAAAATAAGAAAAAATTTTGGAGTGAGTTAAACAAGTTAAGAAAGCCTAGAGAAAGTATGGATTTGTCCGTTAAAAACAGAGTAGGGGAGTTAGTAGATGGGGAGAGGGAGGTATTAGGTAGATGGCGAGAATATTTTGAGGAACTTTTAAATGTTGAGGAAGAAAGGGAGGCGGTAATTTCATGCACTGGCCCAGGGAGGTATACCATCTTTTAGGAGTGAAGAAGAGCAGAATGTAAGTGTGGTGGAGGTACGTGAGGCATTACGTAGAATGAAAGGGGGTAAAGCAGCTGGAACTGATGCGATCATGACAGAAATGTTAAAAGCAGGGGGGGGATATAGTGTTGGAGTGGTTGGTACTTTTGTTTAATAAATGTATGAAAGAGGGGAAGGTACCTAGGGATTGGCGGAGAGCATGTATAGTCCCTTTATATAAAGGGAAAGGGGACAAAAGAGATTGTAAAAATTATAGAGGAATAAGTTTACTGAGTATACCAGGAAAAGTATACGGTAGGGTTATAATTGAAAGAATTAGAGGTAAGACAGAATGTAGAATTGCAGATGAGCAAGGAGGCTTCAGAGTGGGTCGGGGATGTGTAGATCAAGTGTTTACATTGAAGCATATATGTGAACAGTATTTAGATAAAGGTAGGGAAGTTTTTATTGCATTTATGGATTTAGAAAAGGCATATGATAGAGTGGATAGAGGAGCAATGTGGCAGATGTTGCAAGTTTATGGAATAGGTGGTAAGTTACTAAATGCTGTAAAGAGCTTTTATGAGGATAGTGAGGCTCAGGTTAGGGTGTGTAGAAGAGAGGGAGAATACTTCCGGTAAAAGTAGGTCTTAGACAGGGATGTGTAATGTCACCATGGTTGTTTAATATATTTATAGAGGGGGTTTTGTAAAAGAAGTAAATGCTAGGTGTTCGGGGAGAGGGGTGGGATTAAATTTGGGGAATCAAATTCAAAATGGGAATTGACACAGTTACTTTTGCTGATGATACTGTGCTTATGGGAGATTCTAAAGAAAATTGCAAAGGTTAGTGGATGAGTTTGAGAATGTGTGTAAAGGTAGAAAGTTGAAAGTGAACATAGAAAAGAGTAAGGTGATGAGGGTATCAAATGATTTAGATAAAGAAAAATTGGATATCAAATTGGGGAGGAGGAGTATGGAAGAAGTGAATGTTTTCAGATACTTGGGAGTTGACGTGTCGGCGGATGGATTTATGAAGGATGAGGTTAATCGTAGAATTGATGAGGGAAAAAAGGTGAGTGGTGCGTTGAGGTATATGTGGAGTCAAAAAATGTTATCTATGGAGGCAAAGAAGGGAATGTATGAAAGTATAGTAGTACCAACACTCTTATATGGATGTGAAGCTTGGGTGGTAAATGCAGCAGCGAGGAGACGGTTGGAGGCAGTGGAGATGTCCTGTCTAAGGGCAATGTGTGGTGTAAATATTATGCAGAAAATTCGGAGTGTGGAAATTAGGAGAAGGTGTGGAGTTAATAAAAGCAATTAGTCAGAGGGCAGAAGAGGGGTTGTTGAGGTGGTTTGGTCATTTAGAGAGAATGGATCAAAGTAGAATGACATGGAAAGCATATAAATCTATAGGGGAAGGAAAGAGGGGTAGGGGTCGTCCTCGAATGGGTTGGAGAGAGGGGGTAAAGGAGGTTTTGTGGGCGAGGGGCTTGGACTTCCAGCAAGCGTGCATGAGCGTGTTAGATAGGAGTGAATGGAGACGAATGATACTTGGGACCTGACGATCTGTTGGAGTGTGAGCAGGGTAATATTTAGTGAAGGGATTCAGGGAAACCGGTTATTTTCATATAGTCGGACTTGAGTCCTGGAATTGGGAAGTACAATGCCTGCACTTAAAAGGAGTGGTTTGGGATATTGGCAGTTTGGAGGGATATGTTGTGTATCTTTATACGTATATGCTTCTAAGCTGTTGTATTCTGAGCACCTCTGCAAAAGCAGTGATAATGTGTGAGTGTGGTGAAAGTGTTGAATGATGATGAAAGTATTTTCTTTTTGGGGATTTTCTTTCTTTTTTGGGTCACCCTGCCTCGGTGGGAGACGACCGACTTGTTGAAAAAAAAAAAAAAATACAGTAGGGCCCCACTTTACAGTATTTCACTTTATGGCATTCCACTAATACAGACATATAAAATTATGACCTAAACTCGCTATACGGCATCCCTCTTCTGACTTTCTAATGCGGTCACCACGCCCCCACCTAGTTTGTTTACATTCTCCGTGAGCACCACGTCTCTCCATTATGTCTGGAAATTTTCCAAAATTTTAAGTGTTTTTAAAAGTTATTTAATATTTTATATACTATACTCTGAGAATTATACTTATGTATACCTGTACCTAAATAAACTTAATGTGCTGGCATGCAGGTACACATTAAAATCACAAAGATTGTCTTATGTCTTGAGATGCCATATTAATAATAATAATTATACTCAGTAATCATCACTTAGTCTCATTAAATGTCGTATATTATGTTAATATACATTTTTTTTTTCTCTCTCAACAAATCGGCCGTCTCTCACCGAGGCAGGGTGACCCAAAAAGAAAGCAAATCCCCAAAAAGAAAATACTTTCATCATCATTCAACACTTTCACCTCACTCACACATAATCACTGTTTTTTGCAGAGATGCTCAGAACACAACAGTTTAGAAGCATATACGTATAAAGATACACAACATATCCCTCCAAACTGCTAATATCCCGAACCCTTCCTTTAGAGTTAATATACACATTAGTGTTAATATACACATTTTCATTAATTAATCCATCTATGATATTTTTTCTAAATTATATAATAAACACAATACGTAACATATAAACAAGATAAATACACCCCACAGTAGATAAATTAACATAAACATGAGATGTAGTAGCCAGACAACTTGTAGGAGTGATGGCATGAATAATGTTTTCTCTAGTCCAACATCAGAGAAAATGTTTACACTGCGGGTAACTGTAGAAAATTATTCCTTTCATATGCTTTCACTCAGAGCATCATTTCTTCTAAAATTGGTGTTACATGAGAATGGGAGTGTTGCTCTTTATTTATTCTTCTGTATCACATTGGAGACAACTTGTACACAATGTAACTTGTACACAAACCAGATGCGTTCGCCTGGTTTGTTTACATGACTCTGCGCCTGTCCTCCCCCATGTACTCATTTTCTCTCTCTCTCATTTATTCATTTTATCTCGTTTACTCACCTCTGACCCTACTTTAAGACTACAGATATTTTAAGGTAAGGAATGAGTGAACTGTATATGCATTTTATCACTCTGGAACGCTTTAAATGTCATAGAATGTTATGTGTGGGTGGGGTGGCCTGGTATGGCTGGCTACCATACATACCACACTTGATTTCTTACACTAAATACCAATATGATTCATCTCACCCTACATTAAGACTACAAATATTTTAAGTTAAGTAATGAGTGCACTATATGTGTATTTTACTTTATTTTTTTATTGCCTAGTTCCATTGCTAACTTAATATACATTAGTGTAAACTTGTTATCTAGTATTTATATGTATTTATAAGTGGAAAAAAAAGGCATTCCACTCTGCGGCAATTTCTGCTTTACGGCGGCAGCCTGGAACCTAACCTGCCATGTAAGTGGGGCCTCTACTGTAATGCAAAGGTGACATTAAAACAATATCATTGATGATTGACACAAACCCTGTGGAGAAAATTCTCCAGTAAAGGAGGGTATCTCTCAGCCCTCTGAGGGACTTAGCCCTCCTGGAAGGGGTTAGTGGACTCTTCCTTCCTTGCAAACAGCTTTATGAGGAACACGTGTATGTACCATAGCATCGCAAGGCACTCCTTCCTCTCCTTACTAGAGTTCCTGATCAACTACACAACGAGGTTAAACGACAGTAATTACTTTCTCCTTAACAGGAAAAACCTGCACCCTACTTTACCTACAAGTTGGAACTATTAGGAATTCTAGTCTATAGCTAGATAACAAGAAACCTACCCTCTTGTATTGAATACTGTTGCAATGTGTAGTAAGGAAGAGATATAAAGCCAAACTCACCGATTCTTTTGTGGGGTCGAGGGTGACTGGTGGGATTTGGGCAGGGCAACAAGTTAGGCTGAATTCAGATATCAGAACACGAACACGTGTCACAAATCTCCCACTGAGAACAAAGAAAGTAATGACTTTGTGCTATAAACTCTGAAATACTGTCAATCTCCACTAGGAAAACTAGTGTTAAAAAGAAACGTGAATGTATAATCTGCTGTATAATCCTGATAAAGTGTAAAAGTTTGTGTCGCAGATGCATTCAGGTGTTATGAACAAAGTGACTCCCTATCAACAAGTGATGACATAACTACGCATCTGTAGCAGCCTACTCAAGATAACAATATAGGAGTCACACCTCTCCTACAACAACTAGCAGAAATTGGGTCAGTTACAGTACCCAGGTAAGTCCAGCCATACCCACTTCTGATTATGTAAGCTGCAGCTAGTACGTAGAGGTGAGATTTGACTGGAATTACCAGTAGATCCCATGACACATGGGTGATTCACCCAAACCCAAGTAACTCTCATTATGCATTTCAGATGATAGTAAAATGCTGAGATATATGCTCCTTTGGGGCAAATTACATGAATAGCAAACTGTGAAAACTGGACAGCACCTGAAGGGATTTCCAGGGAGAGGCTGCTGGATATCGTGCTGTTAACAGATAAGTACCAGTTGCTATATGTTTGTTTCAGGCAGGAAAGTGTACTTATCCAACCAGTTTCTCCACAAACCCACTATTATTGTATGCTTTTTGCTTAGCGATGAATTTGTTTAACATCGTGGTCTTAGAAGTGGAACTCCGTTGTTAAGTGAAGAGAGGCTGTATACTGCAATAACTAGCTTATGATATTACTGTAAAATTTATAGATGTATTAAATAACATGATGCTGGAACCTTTCAGGGTAAAATAATATCTCATCCTGTGCCCCCTTATGCTGTGGCTTGGACAAACAGTCACATTATTGTTGCTGGGTGTGACAAGCGTGTTGTAATGTATGCTAAAACTGGAAAGATAACTCAACAGTTTGATTACTCCAGAGACACATCAGAGCGGGAATTTTCAGCTGCAGTTTCAAGCCCTAGTGGTCAGGCTCTTGTCATTGGCAGCTTTGACAGGTAAGCTGTGAATGATAGTAAGGCATAAAATCATTTTGTTTTCTGAAGGTACTGATTCAAGAAGCAAAAAAATCTCCCTCTCTTGATTTTAATTTATACCTCAGATACTTTACAATTTCTGAAAACTCTCTTTCTGAGGAGTTGTTAACTATAACAGCAGTACTCTTGGGAAACTCGCATTTCAAGAGAGATGCTTTGCTGTTTTTTGAAGGACTCCTGATCCCAGGAATTAGATTTTTTTTTTTTTAATCAAATGTAATTATCTCCCATTCCCCAAGCATCGTATGACCACCTGCAAGTTTAGCTCTTCCCCATTAAAGCAGTAATAATTCAGACAGTTCTCTTAAAACATGTCATTTCTGTATTGCTTTACCCCACACCTTCCTTATACTTTATGGGTGACCATTTTACATTCTTCTCTGGAACCTCCTTAAGTCATACTGTGATCATACTGTATAATGTTGTTCCTCTGTGTACTCTTGTATTTTCAGTGCAATATTTAAATATTCTGAGAAACATGTGAACAGTATTAATATCATTTAATTTATTGTCTTTTGTGTAATACTGGTTATTTAACCCTTTCACTGTTGCAACCCCCTAAATTTAAAGGACAGTGTTGCGATTTCTTTATTCACAGAGCAATGACATTTTGCTCATGAATGCAAACTCAGGTGAGTAATGTTAGGTAGCATGTCTGTCTTTCAATCAGTTAACAGAGGATTGAGCCTCCACTACTTGCAATTCACATAAAGTGTATATATAACCATTAAGTTTGTAGTGAAAAACCAGCTTTTAAATGTATATTGGAAGAGAATGAAGGCCCATTTTAAAATAATGTAGTATACTATTACCCATTCCAGCTCAGCTATGCCCATGGTTAATTTTATATAGTAGAAAAAAAGCAATAAGTAACTGACATAGTAAACCTCTTAAATATATCTTTGAGGTTGCGTATCTTTGACTACAATACATCACGAGGCATGTGGGATGAAAAAACTTCCTGTGAGTTTGAGGGTTTCTACACAATCACAGCCTTAGCATGGAAAAGAGATGGGTCCAGACTGGTGTGTGGAACATTATGTGGCGCAGTTGAGCTCTTCGATTCTGTGCTGCGGTAAGACTACTACAGTATACTGTACAGTATTTGTATTGCACAGCTTAAATGTTACAACTTGTTACATGTTTGCTTTATTTATATTGGTGAAGTTGTGATAGATAATGTGCTCCTGCTTTGCTTTTGTATCCTGAGTGACCCTTGAATAGGGTTCTAATTTATCATCACACAGTCCAGTTTTTCTTCCACAGCCCTCAGCAGTGGGTTACCTTACCGGATTAAGCTACCTGAGTGTCAGACTAAGAACTCACTATATTCAGTTCTCTTGTATTCATTGTAACTCACCTAATGACTATATGTACTGTTATTACCTTATTAATCTTGAGTTAGTTTTAAGTTTGCCCGAAATGCTCTGCATATAAAGGGGCTTTTGGCATGTACACCCAATTATTATATTCCTTTGTACAAACATGTATTATACTGAAATAAAATATTATTATTATTATAAGTAGTGGGAGATTGCACCTGTTGTCAAAATATGCATTTGGGATTATTCATTTGCATATGCAAGTACAGTGGAACCTCTATTTACCAGTGCACCTACATGCGAGTTTTTCCAGATACGAACAGTCGCTTGGTCAATTTTTTGCTTCCAGACGAGAGCAAAATTTCCAGATGTGAGCGGGCCTCAAGGGAGGTTCCTTGACGCTGGTGAGGGGTTCTTGCTCTTGATGTAGGGAATTGGATCTCATTTGTTTGATGGACTACCTTATTGAAGCTTGGGCAATGTATGATGGAAAAATGCTTCTTAACATACACCAAAATTGAAAGAAATTGGACCACAAATAACGGACTTCACTTCTCAGCCATTAGCCACCCCTTAGCAGTATATTTTTGTATGGTTTTTATGGTTGTATTCTCATTTTTTTGGTCTCATTTGATAGAATGGAAATTATATTATAGAAATAGATATGATTTTGATTTTTTCATGATGAAAAGTACCTTGAAATTAAGCTCAAAGTAGCAGAAATGTTAGATTTTTGCCGATGTTCAAGAGTAAACAATACCTGTCTGAGTGGCCATTCCATATACGTACGTAGTCATGAATGGGTTGACTTTATTTATACAATTATTGCAATAATGCAGTAGTCTGCATAACAGTAAATCTATTTTTTTGTGTGAATAAAAATTCCAGATGGTAAGCGAGCGTATTATAATAATAATAATACGTATAATAATATACATAATATAATACATGTATACATTTTTATGATACGTACGTACCAATAATAATAAATCTTCTTTCTTTCTTTCAACAAACCGGCCGTATCCCACCGAGGCAGGGTGGCCCAAAAAAGAAAAACAAAAGTTTCTCTTTTCAAATTTAGTAATTTATACAACAGAAGGGATTACTAGCCCCTTGCTCCCGGCATTTTAGTTGCCTCTTAAAACATGCATGGCTTATGGAGGAAGAATTCTGTTACACTTTCCCATGGAGATAAGAGGAAATAAACAAGAACAAGAACTAGAAAGAAAATAGCAGAAAACCCAGAGGGGTCTGTATGTATGCAGAGGGGGATATAGTGTTGGAGTGGTTGGTACTTTTCTTTAATAAATGTATGAAAGAGGGGAAGGTACCTAGGGATTGGCAGAGAGCATGTATAGTCCCTTTATATAAAGGGAAAGGGGACAAAAGAGACTGTAAAAATTATAGAGGAATAAGCTTACTGAGTATACCAGGAAAAGTGTACGGTAGGGTTATAATTGAAAGAATTAGAGGTAAGACAGAATGTAGGATTGCGGATGAGCAAGGAGGTTTTAGAGTGGGTAGGGGATGTGTAGATCAGGTGTTTACATTGAAGCATATATGTGAACAGTATTTAGATAAAGATAGGGAAGTTTTTATTGCATTTATGGATTTAGAAAAGGCATATGATAGAGTGGATAGAGGAGCAATGTGGCAGATGTTGCAAGTATATGGAATAGGTGGTAAGTTATTAAATGCTGTAAAGAGTTTTTATGAGGATAGTGAGGCTCAGGTTAGGGTGTGTAGAAGAGAGGGAGAATACTTCCCGGTTAAAGTAGGTCTTAGACAGAGATGTGTAATGTCACCATGGTTGTTTAATATATTTATAGATGGGGTTGTAAAGGAAGTAAATGCTAGGGTGTTTGGGAGAGGGGTGGGATTAAATTATGGGGAATCAAATTCAAAATGGGAATTGACACAGTTACTTTTTGCTGATGATACTGTGCTTATGGGAGATTCTAAAGAAAAATTGCAAAGGTTAGTGGATGAGTTTGGGAATGTGTGTAAAGGTAGAAAGTTAAAAGTGAACATAGAAAAGAGTAAGATGATGAGGGTGTCAAATGATTTGGATAAAGAAAAATTGGATATCAAATTGGGGAGGAGGAGTATGGAAGAAGTGAATGTTTTCAGATACTTGGGAGTTGACGTGTCGGCGGATGGATTTATGAAGGATGAGGTTAATCATAGAATTGATGAGGGAAAAAAGGTGAGTGGTGCGTTGAGGTATATGTGGAGTCAAAAAACGTTATCTATGGAGGCAAAGAAGGGTATGTATGAAAGTATAGTAGTACCAACACTCTTATATGGGTGTGAAGCTTGGGTGGTAAATGCAGCAGCGAGGAGACGGTTGGAGGCAGTGGAGATGTCCTGTTTAAGGGCAATGTGTGGTGTAAATATTATGCAGAAAATTCGGAGTGTGGAAATTAGGAGAAGGTGTGGAGTTAATAAAAGTATTAGTCAGAGGGCAGAGGAGGGGTTGTTGAGGTGGTTTGGTCATTTAGAGAGGATGGATCAAAGTAGAATGACATGGAAAGCATATAAATCTATAGGGGAAGGAAGGCGGGGTAGGGGTCGTCCTCGAAAGGGTTGGAGAGAGGGGGTAAAGGAGGTTTTGTGGGTAAGGGCTTGGACTTCCAGCAAGCGTGCGTGAGCATGTTAGATAGGAGTGAATGGAGACGAATGGTACTTGGGACCTGACGATCTGTTGGAGTGTGAGCAGGGTAATATTTAGTGAAGGGATTCAGGGAAACCGGTTATTTTCATATAGTCGGACTTGAGTCCTGGAAATGGGAAGTACAATGCCTGCACTTTAAAGGAGGGGTTTGGGATATTGGCAGTTTGGAGGGATATGTTGTGTATCTTTATATGTGTATGCTTCTAGACTGTTGTATTCTGAGCACCTCTGCAAAAACAGTGATAATGTGCGAGTGTGGTGAAAGTGTTGAATGATGATGAAAGTATTTTCTTTTTGGGGATTTTCTTTCTTTTTTGGGTCACCCTGCCTCGGTGGGAGACGGCCGACTTGTTGAAAAAAAAAAAAAAAATATATATATATATGTGTGTGTGTGTATGTGTGTGTGTGTGTGTGTGTGTACTCACCTATTTGTACTCACCTATTTGTGGTTGCAGGGGTCGAGTCCTAGCTCCTGGCCCCGCCTCTTCACCGGTTGCTACTAGACCCTCTCTCTCCCCGCTCCATGAGCTTTATCAAACCTCGTCTTAAAACTGTGTATGGTTCCTGCCTCCACTACGTCATTTTCTAGGCTATTCCACTGCCTTACAACTCTATGACTGAAGAAATACTTCCTACTATCTCTCTGACTCATTTGTGTCTTCAACTTCCAATTGTGGCCTCTTGTTTCTGTGTCCCCTCCCTGGAACATCCTGTCCTTGTCCACCTTGTCTATTCCACGCAGTATTTTATATGTCGTTATCATGTCTCCCCTGACCCTCCTGTCCTCCAGTGTCGTCAGGCCGATTTCCCTTAATCTTTCTTCATAGGACATTCCCCTTTAGCTCTGGAACTAACCTTGTTGCAAACCTTTGTACTTCTCTAGTTTCTTGACGTGCTTTATCAAGTGCGGGTTCCAAACAGGTGCTGCATACTCCAGTATGGGCCTGACATACACGGTGTACAGTGTCTTGAATGATTCCTTACTAAGGTGTCGGAATGCTGTTCTCAGGTTTGCCAGGCGCCCATATGCTGCAGCAGTTATCTGATTGATGTGTGCTTCCGGAGACAATGCTCGGTGTTATACTCACCCCAAGATCTTTCTCCTGAGTGAGGTTTGCAGTCTTTGGCCCCCTAGCCTATACTCTGTCTGTGGTCTTCTGTGCCCTTCCCCTATCTTCATGACTTTGCATTTGGCAGGATTAAATTCGAGAAGCCATTTGCTGGACCAGGTGTCCAGTCCTGTCCAGGTCTCTTTGAAGTCCTGCCTGGTCCTCATCAGATTTAATTCTCCTCATTAACTTCACATCATCTGCAAACAGGGACACTTCTGAGTCTAACCCTTTTCCGTCATGTCGTTCACATATACCAAAAATAGCACTGGTCCTAGGACCGACCCCTGTGGGACCCCGCTCGTCACAGGTGCCCACTTTGATACATCATTACGTACCATGACTCGTTGTTGCCTCCCTGTCAGGTATTCTCTGATCCATTGCAGTGCTCTTCCTGTTATTGCGCCTGATGCTCTAGCTTCTGCACTAATCTCTTGTGAGGAACTGTGTCAAAGGCCTTCTTGCAGTCCAAGAAGATGCAATCAACCCACCCCTCTCTCTCTTTGTCTTACTTCTGTTATTTATCGTAAAACTCCAGAAGGTTTGTGACACAGGATTTGCCTTCCGTGAATCCGTGCTGGTTGGCATTTATACTCCTTTTTCCGTTCCAGGTGCTCCACCACTCTCCTCCTGATAATCTTCTCCATAATTTTGCATGCTTTTACACGTCAATGACACAGGTCTATAGTTTAGTGCCTCTTTTCTGTCTCCTTTTTTGAAAATGGGAACTACATTTGCCGTCTTCCATACCTCAGGTAGTTGCCCAGTTTCCAGGGATGTGTTGAAGATTGTGGTAAGTGGTACGCACAACATATCTGCTCCCTCTCTAAGGACCCATGGAGAGATGTTGTCCGGTCCATTGCCTTTGAGGTATCGATGTCCCTTAGCAGTTTCTTCACCTCCCCTCCTCTGTATGTATGTCATCCAACACTTGTTGGTGTATTCCTTGTTGGTGTCCCCCATCTGGTCT